TAAGGCAAATCATTCAAAATAAACCAGGACTACTGACCAAGGGTGCCATGATTTTGCGGTCAATGTCTGTCTACGTGTTGCTGTGAAGTCAAAAAAATTTTATCCTTAAGAGATCAGAATTTTAAGTAGGAGGTTATAGATCATGATGATAATTCTAGGGTTTCCTGCCAAAAGGACGTATCCACAAAATGTGCCATTTTGGGTTTATGAGCTAACTTTGATACCCAATACCATAAGTTTGTCGCAACAAAAGGTCGTATCTACCACACCAATAACAGCGCCACGCAATACTTTTCTTGGTCGTATGAACAATTATTACCTCGATTAACCTGGCAGAAGGTTGTATGTACATATAGGTTGATACGCCCTTCTGGCAGGAAACCCTCGATATGATTTTCATTTGATTATAAATATTTAGCATTTCATTTGGATGAAGAACATGTTGAAAATACTAACCTTTACTTTTTAAAACTGGTGAAGATATCATTTGAAAACACATGTGATATTTTGGCTGTCATTTGAATATAAGATAAAAATAATTCAGTTACTATTTTCATACTACATGACTCTCTGATATTTTTTACCTATTAACAAATATTATTAATGTTATGCAAGTTTTAAGTGACTATACAAATGTAAATTGTCACATAGATTTGATTCATTTTTCAAAATAACTTTATATGCGTTCGTTTCGAAGAAAAATGTTCAAAAAAATATTTCCCCTAGTAACTTATAAGTTTCGTATAAAAAGACCGAGAATTTGAAAGTGGATATTCAAGGAAAGGAAAGTGGTATTTAATTTTCCACAACAACAATATTTCGAAGATAGTTGATAAATATAATAAAACACTAAAAACAAAATAGTTTTACAACTAAAAGTTATTTCTAGTGGTGTCAAAAGAGCGGGAGGTATGTTTCTGTGAAAAAAATACCTGTGTCATCAAAATTTTAGGTATACGTACAAGTTGAGTAAATTTTTGTAATGAAACAGTCGATAGAAGACGCAATTCTAAGAAAAACAAAATATAAACATGGATACCACATTTCATTTTCATTTCTTCTTCATACAGAATCTTATTCAAATGCCTGTTTGACGAAAGCTGGTCAAAATTGGGTTAATAATTTAATAAATTTCTGGCAAATCTTCATTTACTTGATACACAAATATGTCAGTCAGTGGCGGAAATACTGAGGAAACTATCATTGATTATTTTGGAAATTATGTATATATAATTTTGGTTGCTAGTTTTTATAAAAAAAAAGATGTCTTCTCTTTTATTCGATATACCAGCTATTTTTGAGGAATTTAAAATAAGCATACGGCCTATTTGAATAAATCTAAAATTAGTCCAAAACTGGTCATTTCACAAAAAGTACATATATAACATTTTTTGTTAGAAATATAATTTTAAATACAAAGTAATTATCAGAAGTATATTAAGAATTACATTTTTTAGAGTTTCTGTCCCACAGATAATTAAGAATTGCTACGCCAATGATTTTTTTGCATTTCTGATAATTATTACCTACTTAATTATTATTAGTTAGTATTATTACCATTATTCTAATACTACTTTCTACTAATAAGTACTCATTATTACGAATAAAAAATTTCAAATAATTTTTTTATGAAATCTTAACATCAGTGCCTTCGAAATTCTAGTGAATTTTTTCCTATAATTTGTCATCAAATTCAGGCAATTTTTACAATACTTAGTTTACTTAGTCTGACGTCTTCAGTCTGCGTCAAATAGCATCAGATATAATTGAGAAATATTATTTGTTCAAAACACATGTATCTGCACTATTAGAACAGAATCGTACGATTTTTTTCTTAAAATAATTTAAGAAATCACCTGTAAAATTATTCTATACTTTAGTCACACGCTCTATATTTAGAGTAAATTATTGTAACCATGGTTGGACAACAGAACTTTTACAGATATTAAGTAAAGATTTTATTTTATATTCAATAGACAGATAGATTAACTGTATGTAAATAGCAAAATTATTAACTGCATAATTAAGAAAAACATTATACATCTGATTTTATCACGTTCCACTGGCAAAACTACATTTTTTAATTATATTTAATAACAAAATACTTATATTTTCTTATACAAATATAAATTAAGTCAAAGAAAACGAGGCAGAAAGATCGATTTACATTTAAAAGCATTTCAGATAATTTGCAAATTCTGTCCAGATTACTGGCAACAGTGGCTACAAACTGTTCAGAGAGTTAACGGCATCTCTAATTTCCTAAATGTAATAGAAAATTGAAATGACTTAAATAAGCTTTATAAGAATAATCTGCATCAACACAGTAGATAAAGAGATGATGTTGAAATTAGAATTTAAACGATTATCGCAGCAAGTGCGATGAGCTACACTTTTCAAATTTAAATAAAAGTTTAACAATTTTATAAAACAGCAAACTGTATAGATATTTTCCCAAGCTTTATTTGGAATATTTGAATAATATAAGGCAGTATTATCTACAACACCTAAAAAATATATAATTTTTTCATTCAAAAACCTCAATATGTTACATCATTGCACACTCTTACAGTGGCGTATTTGACTTTCACTCTCAATGCGAAAGTGTCACTAGATAAAAAAAAAATCTGTTTTGTTATTGCTTTACTCATGCTCCCCCCTATAGAATGTTCTGTAAACGCTGATGGCCTTTTAAGAATTCTGGTATCTCTATATGTAGAGCTAACGGAAGATCAGTATAAGCATATATTTATTTTCTTTATTGTTTATTTTTCAAAAATTATTATTATTATGATAATTGTTTTCTAATATACGTGATTAGTTCAGAAAATTAGTCTTTGATTTATTTTGACCCAATCCGTAACTCCATAACCCGGGACGCACGTAGAGTGTAGAAGATCGAAACTTGTGGGAACATAGATTGTGGAAACTATATGACTGTGAGTTGGCAGGTTTCCCCATAATCCAATAACTCCATAACCCTATATTCCTAGGTATACGAGGATATATAACCACGAAAGTTTGAGGAAAATGAAAAACGTAATAGTACTTCCTTGACTGTAGATCAGTATTCGTGAGTTTTTGCTATTAAAATCGTTCAGGTTACAGGCTACTACAGAATCCAAGTTTTAGAAAAGGAGGTTTTGAGTAATTGAGCCTAAAAATATCGTTCGTGTAGTCATTTTGATCCCTCTAAAGGTCTATAATTAGTCTAATGTTTATACATGTGTTTTATATTTTCTATGACACGGTTCTTGGAATAACAACCGCTTTTGACCCATAGTTCATCAAGACCGTTGGTCTTAAAATGATCCAAAGAATAGGTAATCTTTTAAAGTTGTCAGAAAACACTCTGTACATTGAATGTAATGAATTCCATATGCATTACTGTCAATACTGACAACCCTAATATTTATAATTCATGGACGATTTTAATTATCATGTATTTTAGTTCAAGATTATTTTCAAAAAATTCAATTTTATTAATCTGCTAGTTTCGAGCCTAACAAAACCAATTTAGACTTAGACCTAAATACGTAAAACATCTCTAAAGCGTCATTGTTAAGCGGCCAAAAATAGAGTAAAAATCAAAAAGCGGAAGCGCATATGAGGGGGAACAAGCATGAATATGATATTCAAAAAATATTCAAAAATTTACAAAAATATGTTGTGCTAGAGTTAAGAAAGCGTTGGCGATGATTTCTGGCACACCAGCTGAGACGACTGAAACCTACGTGCCTTCACAATATTTTTTTTACACGTAATAGATACTGTTATTTTCTAATATTAGTTGGATTGGTATTTAAGTCAGTAGTACGGAAATAATAAGTACTTACGCTATTGTGTAATAACGTAAATAATTTTCCTGGCTCTTTAAACTTCTAAAATTAACCGTTAAATACATAGTGCTTTTTGACCGATATTCTTAGAGAAAATTTAAAATGAGGCTAATATTCACTTTTATGCAACCAGTTTAACTTCAAAGTAATGTTAAAAATATATGCTTATCTTTAAAAGAAAGAAAATGAAATATCACATTTCGCGAATGTGATTTGTAATGTCATGACATATTTGTTAAAAAAAATACATAAGTAAGTAGATATAAAAACATTTATTAATAATGTGATCATTAGGCGGTGATTAACTAGATACGAAATCTTAATTAATATTTGTTGTATGTATAAAGTTATGTTAGATCCTTTGGTCGATACAACGTTGTCAAAATTTAAATAAAGTAAATCTATTCGGTTTTTCAGTAGGTACTGTGTTATTACATACTTTTTTGTGCTTTAATAATTTTAGTTGATAAGCAAATCAATTCCATTTTCTTTGACATTCGATGACAGTAATATCATGCTGTTCGTATGAACTAAATAGACGAAAACTAACCATTTTGGATACATCAGAAATTTTTGTAAATTCGTAAGAACATGGTGCTGTGTTACATATTGGGTTAATCTGAAATTTCGTACAAATCCATTCGAAATTGTTTTCGTACGAAATCACATCCAATGTAACTGCCACTTTAGATTTTCCGTGTCCAAATTTGGTAACAAAAACCATATGAATTTTAACGTTTATAATAAATCTTAGCATCTCGCATTTATAGAATTCGATATCAGCGTCTAATGGAATTTCAATACAGAATACATTAATACAAAAAGTAAGATTAAGCGTCCTATTCTTAAAATTTTCTGATGTGAGTGAAATAGGTACCTAATCTGTTTTAATCAGACCAATTCATACGGATAACATTACACTTGTGAAACAGTGTCAAATATTTATCTTATTGTGTATGAAATACAATCGTAGGACAAAAAATCTAATTTCTCAATGGGAAACAAGTTAGATCTGACTCTGTGTATTCTTCATCTTGACGAAGATCTTCTATACAGTGTATCACATATTTTACATTGTATGAGCCTTTGGATTTAATCGATTGTGTCCCTAAGAATTCTGAAGGCACGCGGTTTCGTCAAATGAAGCCATCCTGGACTTACCACAGAGGAGTCGGAGTTGAGGTAGCGGTTGGTCGCGGAATACCCGGTCCAAGGCCTTAGTTTGTTCTCGATCCGGTCGTATTCTCTCTGTAAGACGGACGGACGCGTGGAGAACACTCTCGGCGGCATCGTGACCACGGTCAGCCTCTTGTGCCCCACGTACGGCACCACGCGGTCATAGCTGTACGACACGTGTACCTGGGGGACAACAGAGGTTAGTTCCTGTCTTAGAAAATTGCTAGGAAAAGCGGTAGCATAAGCCGATGAAGCATACTTACCGAACATCAACTGATTTACCTCTTGTATACGTATATAGGGTGAATCGGAGTTCATTATAAAAAGCAATTTTATGTTAAAACATTGTTGACGTTTCATTGCAGGTTACTTCAGATAAGAGACCGCTGTACCTATATCAAAATTAAATTTAAGAAATTTCCGTACGTGAAATTGTTAGGTAAATATAAAATATTTAATTCGTCGGAGTCACATTTGAACCTTATTAGGTTAAAAACTAAATTAAAAACATTGTTATACTATTTCGATTTATTTTAAGACCTCTCTCGCGACTAAGATTTTCGGCATTTTCCTCCTCCACATGAAAAGCAACCCCTCAGAGGTGTAGGTATGTATTTTGCGTAATAAAATCTAAAAATTAATTGATTTGTCTCTCTGTTTTTACCCTCTTAGCAGCCAAGCGATTAACCCAAGAAAATATTTTTTTTTCTTAAATACAATTTTACATTTTGTTACACAAAATACATACCTACACCTCTGAGGGGTTGTTTTTCATGTGGAGAACGAAAATGGCTCTCAAAGTGGCTCCGGACTGGCCCCGATTCACCAAGTTTCCGGGGTTTAAATATTCTTTACAAAATGCTGAGTGCATTAGAACCGGTAGAAGAATCGGGAACAATGGCATAGTGCAAGAGTCAGTTCAATATGCATACAATTTGCAACTGCACACATTTCGTTGCCTTTAAATCTATTGTGTATTACTGCCATGTAATTGATTCCAATTGTATTTCTAAATTTTGTTCTATGAATATTTATACCGACGGTATTTCTGTAAAAATATGTACATACATATTTATCTTCCAAAGTTCTGACTATAGAGGGTGATTATTTAAATTTTGAATACGTTATCACTCTTCCTCTTTCTAAAATACTTATAGTTGACAATATTATCATAAGATGGGCAGATAAGAAAGGATTAACCACCAGTCGCTACATATCATCCATATCAGCATTTACCAAAAGAAGATAGCTAGGGAGTTTGGGCAGAACCAGATTAAAGGGGGGTTACGGGGGCTGTAGCCCCTGGTGTCATGAGATCGGGGGACTTCGGCAAGATCTGGCAAAATGAATTTTAACATTTTTTTTTAGAATCAAACCAAGAAGTGTTTAGGTTTTGAATTTTATAGCAGACAAGTTGCTGATTGCGTGATATTTTCTTTTAGAATCAAACAAAAACCTGTTAATTTAATATTGTTTTTTTTTTTTTGTTTGAGACTGCTAGTACTTCGAGGTAAACAACTACAACTGTCGGAAAAGTAAAATATCTCGAGTCATTTTAAATTGTAACAAAATTATAGTTATTCCTTTGCATTATTACTAGCTTTTTTTCAATCAATCTTGAATTATATGATTCTTTCTATCATATTTATTTTACTCCAAATACATTTAATAACATCCTACAGATGTCAGATATCCAAACGAACACGGTTTCGATTGTTCAAAGAGCCAATTATTCCGCAGTTATAAATAGTGACAAAGACACTTCCGCTTCTACTGTTCTTTGGGTTTTGTACACTGCTACAAGTGGTGAAAACGTAATTTTTTCGAGAAAGTTTCTGAAAGTTATCCATTATTTTCGTTAAATATATCAATACTTTTGGTAACTTAACAGTTGTAATATATTTTATTTAGGTGTTACAAGCAGATCCTATAGAATTTGCTGTGAAAATACATTTTTTACTCAACCATGTCTTGTTTTATCACCTTCTATACCAGCACATTATGCAAAGTTCTATATTCTATATATACTGTTGATTCTACATATTTTTCCTAACATCTAACGCAACAGTATTGATCACAGCCACACACAAAAAAAGTTGTCTGTACTTTTCATGCGACATATGTTATCCGTAGTATTTTTGCCTTCTGATCACGAATCCGGTGTCAGAATTGAGCTATGACATCACTGGAATTTCCTAACTTCAAAAACAGTTCAAAAATAGCAAAAATTCACGAAAAAGTGCTAGGAAAAATACAACAAAAATGTTTTCTATATTCAAATGATCATTTGTATGGTTAAGACTCCGCTGAACGTGAATCTGCGGTCAGAATTGATGGTCCTTTTTTTTAACCTCAAAAAAAAAAACGGGTCAATTAAGTTCAGATATCACGAATTTTCAAAAAATTACAGATTCGTGCCAAATTTGGTATACGAGGGTTTTCGGAGTCGCCGAACACGGATCCGAGGTCAATTTTGCAAAATTCAAGATGGCGGATCCAAGATGACGGATCAAATTTTCAAAAAATTAACACATTCGCGCCAAGTTTGGTATACGGGGATTTTCGGAGTAACTGATCACGAATCCGAGATCAGATTTACAAAATTCGTTTTTAAAAATTTAATCAATTATCTATGTACTTTATTACCTGAGATTAGGCAGAAAACCCGTGAATAGATCTTTTACAGATAAAAGAACAAGATATATCCGAAAAAAAGAAGGTTACATGATTGGGTACTCAGGTTAAGTAAACAAAAATATTACAAAATGAATTTCGCAATTCTGAATACGTAATCAGTGACGCCGAAAGCCCCCGTATACCAAATTTGGCGCGAATCTGTTATTTTTTTGAAATATTTGGTCGGCCATTTTGGATTCGTTATCTTGAATTTTGCAAAATTGACCTCGGATCCGTGATCAGCGACTTTTTTGTGTTTTTCCTTGCACTTTTTCGTGGATTTTTGCTATTTTTGACCTGTTTTTTGAGGTTAGGAAATTCCTGTGATGCGATAGCTCAATTCTGACACCGGATTTGTAATCAGGAGGCAAAAATACTATGGATAACATATGTCGCATGAAAAGTCAAGACAACTTTTTTTTTTTGTGGCTGTATAATCATCAGTAACATTTCTAATGTTAATCACTTCGTTACTGCTCACAAGCAGTTAATTTTCAACATTCATATGCTGATCATTACTACATTTAATGAAATATCAATATTCAAATCATTTGAACTTTATAAAGATAAAAGCCTATCTCAATATTGAAAATGTTTATGAGAGTATAAAATTTCAAAATGTAAATATTCGCTCTCGCCCGCTGGACGCAAAGGTGGTCCGATCGGAGTGACTTTGGTGTCTTTGTATATTCTGCGTCAAATATAAAAAGTTCGACCATTTTCTCCTCTTGATTCGAGTTAATTCTTCAAAAAAAAGAGACTAAAATAACCCGTAGGTATATTTAACTAGAAAAATTGAAAACTCATTTACAACAACTAATGAGCTATAAACATCAAAAATCGTACAATAGAGAATAGGTTAGAGTAGAAATCATTTCCCTTCTAACATTTTAAAAAGAGAGGATCAGCTCGAACGAATATCAAACTTACTATACACTGTCGAGATTGAGTGGACCGCTTCCGGAATATTTTAGCCACGCGTTTCTATTCCTGATGGAAATCGTCGTGGATTTCAATAAGAAAGGGAGCACTTGGGACATTTTATTGGATTTAGGCTAATCGATTTCTCTACAAATTTAGAATGGGTATAAGCAAGCCATTTATCCCTTCTCGGGTTTAGTGGTTAAATCGAAAATTTGAATACAGGTGAAAATTCCTTGCATTGAAACACTGAAACACATTATTTACATACAGTGTGACCCCGGAAGAAGTCGAAATCAACGTTTTTATTTTTCATTTTATGAAAAAAAAAAACAGCCAGCAATATAGTTTTAAGTGAGCCAACCAATAGAGGGTGCTCCCTATTCAGAAATTATTAGAAATGTAGTAGTTGATTATATCCCTAAAAATTAATACTGTAATATCTTATACTATTAAAAAACAAATAAGTAGGCGTGTTAAATGGGTCAAAATAAAAATTCTTTATTCTTGTACATATAATATTTTACCCCTCTTAACTTTTTTATTTTTTTAGTTAGACAAAAATAGTTAGAATAAAAATTATAGGACATTTTTCTATGAGTTTAATGAGTTTATGTAAATAGAAATTATACAGATATTTTCTAGATAGATATGAAAACTTCTGTTCTTTTTTAATGGAACACCCTGTATATTATTCGATATCTTCGATATCTCTGCTTCTTCCTGATCCCAACTATATATATACATTGTGGGTTTACTTAACAATTTGCTCAATATGCTGCTTTGAAAGACTGAATATTGCCATGAGCGATAAATATCAAAATCGCTAGGTATGTAGAATAAATATGTTGTCATAGAACCGAAAATTGGACAGATGTAACACTATTGTCGCACTCCTTTGAAAATGGTGTATAACTTTTGTAGTGTTGATGAAAAAAATGATATTGTTAAATACTATTTTTCGCACTAGACGCGAGTATGCACGAAGATTTCCGGCAAGACGCATCAGATATATCTGCAATAACAAATGGAAAAATACTGGTGCGGTAAAAAATAAGGAAAAAAGAAATAAACCCCACAACGTTCTAACTGAAAATATGCAAAAAAATATTTTACTTTACTTTCAAGAAAACTCAAAACATGCGATTCAAGATGCTTCAAGGTACTTGGAAATATCTTAGAGTTCGATTCAAAGAGTATTGAAAGTAAACAAATATAAACCATATTGTTATCGCCCGGTACAAAAATTATATGGAAATAATACTAATAGACGGCGCGGCGCGAGTTTTGCCAAATAATGCTAGACAGACATTTACAAAATGAGGAATTTATAGGTTCGTAACTAGTTCTTCTACTACTACAATTACTACAACTAAGTATCACCAGCGTCACCAGTACCACTACTATTATAACCAGTGCCACCATATTGCTATTATTATTTATATTTATAATTTATTAGATTCTATCTCGTGGACTGAAAAGACCACGTTTACAAGTGGCATCTTGAAAAGAAGGAATTTGCATTACTGGACATCAAAAATCCACACCAATATATCTATATTCAGGGGCAACACAAGATTTCAGTA